AACCCTGTATGAACAAAAAAAAAGTACTGTTTTTCATACCTACTATGACAAATTATTATTGTAACACTATAAGAATGGTAAGCAGTCCAAGTGTTTAATGCACCTTCCAGGGAGCTGCAGTGAAGTAAAAGCTGAGAAGAGTTATATAATTGTTTAGGGTACAGTATACTTCAAACAACGTGACGTCTGACCACGTCTTAGGCAAGAGCTCAGTGTCTTTTGCATGTCTTCGTTGTCTTGATTCATTAAATCGTACAACAGTGCACGCTGTACAATCCTCAAAGACATCCATTGTGTTGAACTCGTTTTAAAGTGAAGGAAAGATAGGTTGGTGGATGTAATCAGTCACGTACATTTTTACCCACATTCCTGATAGATTGCTTTGTAAAGTGAGCTGTAATTCCACAATATGTATTTCTGTTACCTTCTGTTCTCATAGTCTTTCAAACCCTGGTGCAGTGTTGAAAATCTATTACTCAAACCTTACTTCTAGGATTGTATTTCACTGTCTCACCGGTGCCCGCAGCATCACCTTCCCACCAACGCATTTCTTTTCCGTTCTGCTGGCCATGTCCTGGGTTTCTGGGGCCTTTCTGTTAACATTTCGTGCAATATTGTCCTTATTTCTGATGAAAGCTGTCCAAACACAGACAGTGTCACCTCTCACTGTGACATTTCCAGCAGCTACAAAGGAGTAGAAAAAATATTTCAGCAATCTAAAACATCCGTTACCGCCAGCCCTTGGTTGTCAGTCCTTCAGATGGAAAGAGAAGGTCTACGTTTCACAAACCATTTTGCAGCAACCGCTCATCAGTTTTACAGAGAGAAATCCATCGCCGCAGAGGCAGAGATACAGATTTCTACAAGGCAGCCTGAGTAATACAGAAGGCAATACAGCCATAAACCATTTTGTGTTTTGAGTGGAGGGTTTCACTAGCACTGTGTGATTGTGCTCACTGGGCTTTACTGCAATGACATCGAAAAAAATGTGTGACATAAACTGACATACATGTACTGTAGACAAGACAGGAAGTAGGGAAGATAATGAAAAATACATTTCCACAAGATCAATCCTGAATTGCATTTACCGTCATAATCTGGCACATAACAGTAAAAGCATCCATGGGTATATTTTCAAATTTAAAGTGCACTGAAGGAACCCCTTAGTGCTTTCCTCCTGGTCAGGATTTATCCACCCGGTCCAACTGTGACAACATTTTGAGTCTCTTTACCAAGTGTGATGCGACCGCTGGTCCCACATTACCATCTCTGTCATTTGCTCAAAACGTTCCCGGACCCCAACTTTCTAATCCTGTTTGAAGTGAAATTGCCATAGTTGTGCTGGAGTTGGCTGCACGAGCTCTCCATAGGGTCCAAAGTTAGCCCACCCATAACATGTGCTTTACTAGGTGGAGATCTATACATCACTAGAATAAAATAGGTTGCAAATGTCTATCTCCTCATATCTTGTCTTAAATATTTGTCCTTGCTAATGTTGCAAATTGAGCTGCTGTGATGGAAGAACATTTCAGACTTGATATGACTAACTTAAAAGTTTGCTTCAAACTGTTTACGAGCAGCCTAACCCTAATCTGTGGTCAAGGGACGTGTGCGTCTGATGTCGCTGAGGCCGGGAAGAAGAGGCTATTTTAAATGTTTTGTTACCAAACTGTATCAACAAAGATGAGTTATTCCTAAATATTTACACTCATTAATTACCAGTGTAACTGTTACATAGCTTACTCTACCAAATGGCTAACAATAGCATGCACATGACATTTGTAGATTTCTGTCTTGACATCTGACCAAAACTCTTATTTATAATGGTATCAATTTGGAAGATACAATTCACAAAAATAACCCAAAGTACCTCAAATCCTTAGACCTAATGTTGGGAAAATACTGAATGTACTCTTCCAATATCAGAGTAGCACATGATAACAAAGGCCCAACTGTAACTATGTACATGATGGGATGTATGATTACCTAGAAGAGCATCAGGACACACTGTTTTAGGAATATGCTAAGCTATGTGACAACGATTAACATGATGATTCCGCCTCTATGGAGATAGGCATATGACTGTCATATGTATTCCTTACGTGAGCCATAGCTAATCTGAACTAATCATTGAATACTGCTTTGAACCGGTATTCTTGCATCTTGTAACACCCTCTCTTTATACAAGCATCTGAAGGAACTAATCGTACCAAATTCTCTGTGTGTGATGACTACTTCCATTCTTGCAAGGATAATAAATACATGTATCCTGATATTGAAACTCAAGCCGGTGACGAGTGAGATTTCTCTAACACTTAATAACCAGATAGCATCTGTTGAATATTCCCTCTCATTTTAAACTGCATGAATTCTACATACCCTAAAACACACGTACTTTCTCATATATGTTGATGGAAATAAAACAAAGTAATACATGGATTTATGTAGATATGATTAGATTTAGTAATGTGTATATCCTTGGGCAAGACACTTTTCCGCATTTTGCTCCTGTGGGTAATGTCCACAGTAATGACTCTTACATGTCTAATATGTGTAATGTGTAATTGTAAAGCGCTTTGAGCACCTGTAAAAGCGCTCTAATAAAAAATGTAATGCATTATTTTTATTTATTTTTTATTTTTGGCAGATATATTACAACTTTTTGATCCTAATGTGACTTTTTACATGATGTGTTACTTTTGATTGGACAGATGTTTGCTATAAACTGATATACAAACATCCATCTAATTAAGACCTTCATCTAAAATGTTGTAAATCCCTGATACTATCTTAAGAAGTATTTTAAAGATACAAACCTCCAGCACGATATGAATTACAAACAGCTGGTGTCTCCCAGTCCCGGTGTTACCACTGTGGTAACTGTGCATGATGCATCGTCTCTCCTTCAGGCAGTTTCCCTTCCTATAAATGAGAAACCTTTCACCAGTCAGATGGCCTTGGGCGTGTTAGTCAACATGGACATATTTAACAATATGGAATATCACTCTTATACGGCCTGCAGCTAAACAGCAGAGGTAGAATGGGAGACCTAATGGAGACATTTTATTGTCTGGTCTTTTACATCTGAATGAGCTTTATTTCAGTTCTCAGTAAGATCTATCAGCTCTTAAATAAGATGTGCACTTGAAATCCCCTCACTCATTCACATTAAATAACTTCCTCTTTTTCAGCTCATGCTGTATTGAGCTGCACATACTCAAACTGAGTGGAGATATTTACTTAGGGAGATGTCAGTGAGACATATGCAGAGAAGGCTAGTGTGTTTAAAGGCTGCAATTAAGTGGGGTTTACCATTAATGAGGCAGTGGGGGATGGTGAAAATGTTGAAGAATAGAGGATTCTTTTGAGGGAAAGACAGCTTGGGGATTTAGTCTTTTTTCCTCTTTTTAAAGTTGCCTGATGCACCATCTGAGTGCGTGTCCAATTGGCTCAATGCCGGCAAACAGTAACTTAAATAAGAAAAGTCCCCTGTGTGTTTTGAGGTAACTTTGTAGCTGTCCCTCCCAGGCAGATTATGTGCTTATCAGATTTTCCTAACATGGTCACAGCAACCACAAATTTGATCCACGAGCAGGGAAAGAATTGGAAAACATGATTTTTATGAGTTTATGGTCAGGTTTGAGTTTTCTGAAAGCTCTGCAGATCCCCCCAGGCTAGCACTGCTGACTTATGAATATGTGGGTGAGAACAACACTTGGAAATTGCACATTTCAGAAGCTGCAGAAGCCTACCTTATCACCCAGTAATTCACACTATTTACACATGTGCAGTGACTTGATTCCTGCAGGGAAGATAATGGTTTGTTGCCAGCCATGGCTACGAGTATTACATCTCGACTTTTCTCTCTTTAAAAGAGCTTTACATTTTTTTTTATTGAATTTAAGCTACTATCACCTCCTTGTTATCCTTGGTATAAAGTCCCTGTATGATCTACTTGAAGACAAATTGAACCGTTTTATCTTCCTGTTTAGTCGCACAGAGTTGTTTATTTTCCTTTGGACTACAAGCTCAGCATGAGTTATTTTTCATTAGCTTTGCAGTCAGTGGAGCTATTCTTCTCAGTCCTCATCGACGGGACTCAGAGCCTGCTGCTTCTCGTTCTACCATCTAATCACGGAGTTACACCTGCAATGCCAGGTGAATGCAATTAATCGCTGCTTGGCAAACCCAGCGGCACTGTGAGCCCTTGGGTTGGGAACCACTCTTGTTGAGCGATGCTGGCACCAATAACAAATCATGCTCCCAAGGACAAATGTGGAGACGTTTCCTCCAGCCAGTAAATATAAACAAAAGTTATTTCAGTACACAAAACTCAACCAATTAGACTTGATTAAGCCTTTGAGATCAGAGATTCTGAACATCACACCCACGCATCAGTGCAAAAGAATGTTCTGAACTCAGCTTTAAATAAATACAGTGATGAGGTGCGGTGGATGATGATGTTTTTTTAACCCTCTGGTGAAAGGTCAAGGTAGTACAGAGCATTTTAACACTGATTGGTGATTTCTCTTTTGCAAACAGTAATCAAAACTACCACCTTTACCACACGGCATCACTACTGACATGTTCAGACATGTTTGTTTCATTATTTCATTAAACTGATGATTATGTATTATATTAAAAAATGTCTTTTTTCTGCTCATCACAAGTTCTTACAGTCCAAGTTGATGTTCACATGTGCTGGCTAGCAGATATGCATTAAACATTTACACAATCGTAATATCAGGTGTTTAGTATTCTTGAAAACCATCCAGTTAATCAGTTTTCAAAACATTATAATAATTAACTGTTTGTTTAAGTAATTAATAGCTTTAGCTCTAAATTGATGTTTTTACACTGATTTGATGTAGTATAACCTTGACTTCAGCTGTGCCCATTTAACATTTTGAATAATTGCATGTACGTCCACCAGTTGATACGTAGTTGTTTTCAGACATGTTTGTTTCATGAGTATTTCTTCTTTCTTGTCTCTCTTTCAGCCAACAAGACTCTGCTCGGAGGAGGTGGAGGTAAGTCACAACCTGTCTGATCCATCGGCTGTGTGTGTTTAGATTTGCTGGCAAGATACTTGTCTCCCTCAGTTCATATTATCGGTATAGCTTTGTGGTGCAAATAGTCCTGGACAATCAATTATTTTAATCAGATGATGCAGTGCAACGTGCTAACTAAAGAGAGTGTGTATGTATGTGTGTGTTTCTGTGTCGTATAAGTGGTGTTTGTCTTTGTATTGGAGCAGGTAGCTCTTTGTTGTGGCAGGTGTTCAAGGTGGGTTTGCATGCTGCGCTGTGTGTCTGTAGGCCTGTGTGTCTGTGTGTGAGTGTGTGAGCACAGGTGCAAAGTCCATACTTCATCATTTACGAGTGTGGAGTGCTGTGGATATAAACAGCCATTTTTCAATGTATTGTTGACTCAGTGCTTTGGTGCGTGCGTGTGATGTCGGACGTCAACGTTTAATCGATACTTGTAATAAATCTGTAAAGCTAATGCAGCAACCACATTCACTAAAACATGTACACACACATACATGCTCCTTTCCAGCTGTGTGTTTGTTAATGCTTGCAAATTTGGTTGATGGTGTTTTTGGTGGTGGTTATCTTTTTCTTCATTTGGGCAAACAGCTCTTAACCATTCAGACCAGCTGACTTACACTGTCATTTTACCCTTCCAATTTGTATGTTTGTGTGGATGTGTGTGTGTGTGTGCGCACTTGCACATGTTTCGGCTTTCCAGTCTCCATGGTGACATATTCACTGTAGTGGCACACCTGTATATGTGCATGAGAAACCGTATATGAGTTAATCACAGAGCATTTGCGTGCCTCTAAAAGTGCATTTGCTTGCCTAAAGTGTCTTATTGAAGCCGTAAGTTCTAAGCATCTACACACACACACACACACACACACACACACACACACACACACACACACACACACACACACACACACACACACACACACACACACACACACACACACACACACACACACACACACACACACACACACACACACACGGGCTCCACCCTTAACGATATACACCAGCTGAGCCTCAAGCCATAAAAATGGACTGCTTCACACATGGCACCCACTACATGCAGTCAAGTAGCTCGAGATCTACAGCATCGTTTGATGTTGTCCTGAAGTCTCTGATGGCTCTACAGAGACAGATGGTTTCTAGAGAGGCTGTGAACGGTGTTCGCGTCAGACTATGTTAATTTAATGAAAAGCATGTTAACATTGGTTTATTCATTTATAAAAATATATTCAGTTGAATGAAAACACAATAGCTGTTTAATTCTGAACATTTGTCCAACGATGGGTTAGTAGAGGTTCTAACAACCAACCATCTAAATACTTTTTTTTATCCATTTCTCTCCGTCACTCTTTACCAGTTTGTCTCTGGCTCAGTTGATTTCTCTCATCTCTATCTTAATGTTCTTATTTCCCTTGTGCTGTCTCTCTTTTCAGCCCCGTCCTTAGGGGTTTGCCAAGGCAGATAGAGGCTACAGTAGTTGTTAATTAGAGAGAGAGGTAAGCTTAGAAACAAGAGGAAGAATTGAGTAAACAGGAGAGACGAGGGGAGACTGGGGTGAGTGTGAAAATACAAAAGAGACAAAAAGGAATAAAGGTCCAATAGATAATATACAGATGCAAGGGGCTGAGTAGAAATCTATCACAGAAGAATATTCTTAACACATCTCCAGTGTCGAGGTCACAATCTGCACTGAGTAACCAAGAATACATTCTTCCAGCTGTTTTCATTGGAGCTGAGACAACAAAGGTCTTTACAGTGCTTTTCTACTCTCGAGGGTACCTGGGTAAATGTCATTCAGTTAGATCAAACGCACACCTGCCGACTTTGTTTTCTTCAATCCGGAGCGGCGCTGAGCTCCAGCGGCACATCAACAACAAACTCAAGGACAGGAAATTAACATTTTTTTATGACCACTGGCTACAATTGCTCATTTATCTAGAGCTTATCTACCAATACAACGTTTCACTGCTTTGATTGATTTTCCAAATAGTAACGAAATCCCAGATGATGATCAGTGGTTCAGTCAGCCAGACAGTTGCTTCATATAAATACATATGTTTTTGATTTGAGAATAAATGCCTATGGAATTGGTGGAGCCAGGACTCACACTTTGAAGCATGTATCTGGTTCTCCTTCTAGGTCACCATATGTCAGTAATGTACCTTTGGGATGCGTGGTGCATTGAAGTGTTTTTCCACAGGTTTGTGGCCTGCACAGAAATCTCCTCTACAGTATATAGGGAAGAGCTGAACCTATTAAACATATTTCAAGCCAACATAAACCATTTTCAGGGATGAAAAGATCATGTTTCACTGTTGAAGTTGTACTTTTTTTATAATAATGAACTTGATCTGTTGCCTCTCAAGGGCCCCTCAGTAGCACAAAGGAGGTAAACAAGCACCCTTTAAAGAGCCTGTGACAGCCTCCTAACAACTGTTGTGCAATGAAATATTGGGCTACTAGTCATCTCGAACCGTCAGTTAGGAGGCTGTCACAGGCTCTTTAAAGGGTGCTTGTTTACCTCCTTTGTNTTAATTTTGAACGTGTCTGAGAGCTCATATGAGGCTGAAGGATCGGTTTATTTTGTATCTGTTAGAAGTTTAGGAATTAGGTGCGTCAATATGGGCGATCATACGGTCATGTAGCCAGTGGTGGACTGGGACTAAAAATCAGCCCGGGACTCTCGACCGGCCCACTTCGGTACCGCTAGTAAGTTGTCAACGGGGGGAGTGGGGGATGTGCTAGTGACTTATCCGACCGGCCCACTTCGGTACCGGCCCATCGGGATTCGTCCCGATGGCCAGTCCGCCACTGCACCCAGCCCAGCCCACGTAAACTGTCAACGGAGGGAGCCTCGCTGCTGGGGGAAACGGTGGACCTAGTGTCCCGATCGGAGTGGGAATAATAATAATAATAATAATCCGTGCATTTTATCCATTAATTTCACCAACATTGTGGTAAAAAAAAACACACGTTTAATCCATGTTGGTGTACTACAACTACAAAAAGCATCGGTTTGTTTTCTCATCAGGAAATGCAGACCGGCTCAAACAAACGATTTTTAAATCATCATCCTCACGATAATTTAATGTATTATATGTTCGCCGAATTGACATGAAAGCACTAATAAATGTAGTTTCATCCACTTGAGTTTACAACTACAAAAATAATCGATTTGTTTTTATATCACATCCGACGGGAGGAAATTCAGCAGCTCTCATTACCGAATTTTATCCTAATTTAATCATCATCTTCACCACGATCATTTATGTTTATGTTCGCCGAATTGACATGAAAGCACTGACAAATATGAATATACTGTAGTCAACTTCATTAAAACGTTATTAACGTGCCTAAACTCAGTAATTCACCATTTCTACGCATGACAACACACTTTGTCCATGTTTGGTTCTCTCGCCGCACAGTGAAGCGTTCCCGCATTGACGTCACTTCCGGCTTCCCCCAAAACTTCAAAATGAGTCGAAGGAATTTGCCTGCAATGTTCGAAATTATTGATATTTATCGGAACGGTATCGCACCTTCTTTTTTAAACGGTTCGAGATGACTAGTAGCCCAATATTTCATTGCACAACAGTTGTCGGGATGCTGTCACAGGCTCTTTAAACTGTCGCACTTTCTGTTGTTTCTATCGCGCATTGACGGTATGAAAGGGTCTGTGCCGGAAATATCAAACATTTAATAAAAGTGAAAAACAATGAACAAGACTTAACGTATTAATAATAATTAATTATATTTATTCCGTTTGGANTCAAAATACAGATTTTTTCAAAAAATTTAAAAATACTGACTTTTTCTCAGAATCTCAAAGTGTAGACATTTTCCTCAAAATTCAGACTTTTTCTCAAAATTCAGACTTTATCTCAAAATGCAGACTTTTTCTGAATAAAATCTCAAACTTTTTCTGAATAAAATCTAAAAATTCAGACTTTTTCCTCAAAATTCCGATTTTTTCTCAAAATACTGTTTTTTTTCTCAAAATACTGACTTTTTCTCAAAATGTCAAAATACTGACTTTTTCTCAAAATTTCAAAATACTGACTTTTTCTCAAAATTTCAAAGTACAGATTTTTTTCTCAAAATACTAACTGTTTCTCAAAATCTGAAAATACTGACTTTTTCTCAAAATCCGGACTTTTTCTGAATACTTATTTTTAATAATCATTCGTTCCCGGCTTGATCTTTGTTGTCATGTCACTCTGATATTGGAAGAGGACATTCAGGATTTCCCCAACATGTATCATCAGAGACTTCAAGCTCCAGAATCAGACAGGAGACATTTGAAACGGTTCGGATAAAACACAAAAATTACTCGACTTCCTTTTTAAATAAAGCACATTTGAATAACATCAAATCAAATAAGTGCACATTCAAGGTATTGAATAAGAAGGCAGTGATAACATTAATGAATTGATTGTTACTGTCTCAAGCCGACCGCCTGTGGTAATGTGGAAACCCCGTTAGCAGGCGGACCATACTGTGAATACGTTAATCAACAACAACAAACCTCACTAGACAGCTACTATAAATAACAACATCATGCTTTTATAGATTTCCCCCCCCCTCCTTTGACAAATAAAACCTTTGAATCTCGAGTCTAGCTAGCACAACACAACAAACGTAAGCTACCCACTTAACAAGCAAGGGACAGTTAGCTTTTATTATACATTACATTACATTTAGCTGATGCTTTCATCCAGAGAGACCAAACTGTAAAGATTCAAACTCAAAACAACAAGGACATTGCAGATATATTCACTTCAAGCTAGATATTAAATACATGCTTTTACTGATTTGTTTTCGCCCTGCTTTGACCCCGTTTCTTGGACAGTTTGGTTATATTCTTGGATAGCGTTTAATGGCCTCCAGCTGACAGCAGCCCCTCCTCCTGACCTCAGATCAGTGTGTGGAGGTAACGTCGCTCACTGAGAACATCAAGGAGCAGATTCCAGATCCTC